TCTTTCTTATATTAAGAGTTTATTAATAACTTTCTTATATCGAGTGGATTTATTATAGACTGGTTTTGGCTTGAACTGTCTTATATTAAGAGTTTAATTAATCTTTCTTATATCGAAGGTTTCTTATATCGAGAGTTATTTATAATAAGTACTTAATAGATACTTAATTATATTTTAAAAAATTAAATAAATTATTTGCTTTTTTAATATATAATATAAATTATTATTTATAAATTATAATTATATATATAAAAACAATGTTAAAATTAGTATATCTGAAGCAAGTTTACTAATAAAATTTTGTGTTATAACAAAAATGAGTAAAAAAAATTAAATATTATTTTAAATAAAAAAAAATTAAAGTTATTATAGTAATTAATAAATATTAAAATTAATTACTTATTTAATATTTGTTTTTAAAATATTTAATTAGTATTAAAATTAATTACTTATTTAATACTAATTATTATAATAAGCATTATAATTAATAAAATATTGAGATAAAACTCTTTCCATCAATCACTCGAACAAAAATTTTTCCAAAACCTAACTTAACAAAATCTTATTTTTTGCAATAATTTATTAAGATAACTTAATCTTTTGTCCTAACAAAACCTTTTCTATATATAAAGTTACATATAATATCTAACTTTTAAAGAGATAGTTTTAAAACTTTTTAAATAATGGCTTTCTGGGCCATATAAGTCTCTTTTGCCGTTTACACAAAACTTAGATTCTAAACTTTACAAAATATAATACAAGATATTCTACACATTTTTCTCTTCAAAACAAGCTATAATAGATCTCAGTAGCTTCAATATTGACCAAGTTACAAGCAAAACAATTCTTAACTCTGTTTACTTTTTTTTTTTTCTTTTACCTTGGGAATTTTCTCCTCCCCAAACAACTAGAGACGTTTTTCGTGTAACTAAGGCCATACCAGCCGTGCTACCCACATTTCACAATACTTTAAAACTAGTGGTGCTCTTTAAATTACACTAAAATTGCCTTATTTTAATTAATATCACACAATTTTAATATTTGCCTTTTTTGTAACTTCTATTCATTCAATAAGATTCCCAAAATTGTTGAAAAAGTGTCAAAGCATTGCAGCAGAGAATTTACGAACACAATTGATTGACCACCCCACCTGATTTCATATTAGCGTCATTTGATTATTTTTTGCCAAGAGAATTTGAGCAAAAATGTACTTATTAACCTAAAAATAATCTCATAAATATATAATCTTAGCGAGACAAATGGTTTATTTATTTGTGATTAGTGATGCTTGTGGAATTAAATAATGCTGGTGAATTGGTGGCTATCTAAAATCTGATTGGCTATTCTTTTAATATCGCCAATTTCACCAGTTTCACTAGCATCTCTATTTGTGATAACGCATTTACAATAAATTTATGTACACTAAATATATTATTTTATATTTCATAAACAAGTTAATATTAATTTTCTCTATATTAATACTGATACATTAAAATTTGATATAAAAACCATGCAAATTTAGTCCGATTATACTAATAAAATTAATATTCTACAAATTAAATATGATTTGTACCCAACCAAGTTCTAATGCAGTCTTTACATTTAATGAACTACCCAATCTTTAGAATGCTAATAAAGCAAAAGAACAAATTACTAAAGAGACATTTAAAATTTTAGGACAGCTCTTTGTGGCCTACCATGTTGAAACTATTTTTGGCCTTACCCTTTTGCATAACCACTTCATGCTTGAAGAAGGAGAAATTCTACTTGAAACTGGTTCATTAAATAATTATCAACAAAAAGTTATTAGTGAGCCAGTTAAGATCGATGAAATGAATTCTTCTGTTCAAGGATTTAATTGAAAAATTACTCCAGATAATTCATATGTACTTTACGAATTTAGGCTTGAGGACAAAGACAAAGTAAATATTTATTTTATCATATTGGGTTTCAATATTCTATTTACAC